CTGTACTTACATGAATATTGATGACTGGACACTCCAATCCTCTTAATTTGAAGGCAATGTGTGATACTTGATAGATGTCTGGTCTGGTATCAGGGTCTGGTGTCAATAAATAGCCTGGAAAACAAATTAAGACAGTACACTTTATTTCTGAGCGTACATTTTCCATTGTCTCTGTTGCTCTTGCTGTAGGAGTAATCTTTGCCGTTGTAATTGTTGCTGTTGTAATTGCTGTTGCTGAAGCTGTTATTGGCAATGTTACTGTAGGAGTAATCTTTGCCGTTGGAGTTGTTGCTGTTGTAATTACTGTTGCTGAAGTTACTGTTGTCATGGTTGCAGTGTCAATGTTACTGTAGGAGTAATCTTTGCCGTCGGAGTTGTTGTTGTTGCAATTGCTGTTGCTGAAGTTACTGTTGTCATTGCTGCAGTGTCCTTGTTGCTGTAGGAGTAATCTTTGCCGTTGTAGTTGTTGTTGTAGTTGTTGTTGCTGAAGCTGTTATTGTCATTGTTACTAAGTCATTGTTACTATAGGAGTAATCTTTGCCGTTGGATTTGTTGTTGTTGTTGTAAGTAGTTGTTGTTGCTGAAGCTGTTGTTGTCATTGTTGCAATGTCATTGTTACTGTAGGAGTAATCTTTGCCGTTGGAGTTGTTGTTGTTGTTGTTGTTGTAGCTGCTGTTGCTGAAGCTGTTGATGTCATTGTTGAATCTGCTGTTGGTACTGCTGTTGTTGTAAATACTGTTGTACATTGTCCATTTTTACATTTTGATTACATGTATTAAACTTAGTCTCTCCCCTGCCCCACAAACGTTGTATCATAAATTAATTATAAAGAGAACTACTTTAAGTTAACCATTTCATGATTTTGACATTCTACTCTAATGATCATATCATTCAAACAATAATTTTAGTCACTTACTGATTAGGCTGTGGAGTTCTTTGGAATAACGTGATTTTTCTGGGAAAGAAAACTGTGCACTTTGGATTGCCAGAGTACTTTCACCAAAAGGCAAAGTAAAAAAACATAATTTGTACAGAAGACATCCAAGAGCCTACCAAAAATACAAAGCAAATTAGAAACAAATATTTAAATAGATCATGTATGTAATAACTATTAGTTTATCATTAATCGCTCTCATAGACAGCAGTTTACCCTTTATTGGGACTCTGATTGAAATACATGTAGCCTGAGTTAAATCGTCCTTTTTTTAAATAACGAGGTCTAACTGTCTACTTAAATTAATTGCTTTTCTTAAAATCAAGAAATTATTTTCATTTATCCAAATTCCAACATAAATCCTTGATACAAAGACCGCCCTTTTTAAGTGATAGGTGACGAAAAGCAAAATCTATTCAAAAAGCACCATTCAGCGTTCCCCTGATGCACTGATGTAGTGCTCTACGATCCAAATCGACACTAGTCAGAGAGGGGAGGATAAAGCACACATATTGCAAAGGTAGTATGTCAAAGTATTTTGTGTCAAAGTATCAATGTACTTCATACCCATATGTCTGACTTGGTTGATATTGTTTTGCCACTGTACAAGTCCACCATTTCTGGTGCTCTGTAAGATAGTGTTGTGTATTTTTGAATTTCTTCCTCTACTTTAGTAGGGCCTTCATCCTGTCAAAGAATGCATCGTAACTAAGCTACAGATATTTATTTTTCGTTGAGCTTTTGGCTCACCGAGCCATTATCAAGACTGAATGAAAAACGTTACATTTTACAAAACAACATACAAACAATGAGCGCGCGCTCTGAGAAGATCTAATAAGCGCACGCAGTAACTAACTTCTAATTACACAAAGATAATTTTGCGGGATCATCCGCCCCTTGTCCCTATTAAACAAAACGTTTTTTCATTCAGTCTTGATAATGGCTCAGTGAGCCGAAAGATCGACGAAAAATAAATATCTTTAGGTTGAAGTATCGCTTACATCGTAATGAATAGACCAACCTATAACCATTTATTTGATCTGATTAACCAAGCTACAGATTCTTTTGCATTTAACGGTCACTTGGTACTAAATTAACCATACTGGATGGCAAAAGAATGTAAACAACCTCAAAAGCAAAAGGAACACAGCCCTTCAACTTGACTTTTCTTTGTTTTGAAAACCACAGTGAGAATTTTGCAGTTCCAGTTTGGTGGATCTACAGTATCATGTGACCATTAAATGCAAAGGTCAAWATAGATGCTTGATATTGTCTGTTGCCAGCTTGTTATGAAATCACTGTTTGTGCTTTGATTAGTTTTGAATATCTTGAAATAATATTATGATACAGGTGCACACTTGTATGATAGACAACTAGTCCACAGGCAGCCCAGCCATCATTCAAAGGTTGGGCTGCCTGTGACTAGTTAAGACAAAATATGCTGTTCCTTTTGATGTTGGTGCTCCTGGGTTCAATTGTACGAATGGTTGATACAGCTCTCCACTCATTTTATTATATCCACTGGATAAGAATTTATCCTGGATAGCGCTATTCACCCTTTGTACAACTAGTCTCTAAGACAACTGTGAATTTGCATGTTAATATGATAATAATAAACTTTATTTAATGATGAGAAAACCAATTTAGCAATACCTGTACAGCTAATCTCACATTGAGTCATCAGAATATGGCAGTCACCACGATAGATATATTAAATAAGACCTAGTTACTAAATATACATATTACAACACTCGAAACTTGAAAAACTTTCTAGTGGAAGCTACTTGATTACACTTGCTTTCATGAATAATTTGTCATGCATGACTTAGAGTAACCATTGCTACTTACAATGCACAGGCGGTTTTCTATTGTCTGTACTCTTATTGACAATAAAATTGACGACAAAAATGCTCAAAACTCAAGTGGAACCACGAGCGTAAGCGTAAGCATTGTCATGAATAAGAGCACAGACAATGGAAAATCGCCTGCAAATTGTTTTTTACCATAAAAAATCTGAAAACGAAGTAAAACTTTCAAAATAAAACCGTTTCTAGCGCGTGCCAGCTCCATAAGCGAGCGATTCGTTATTTCATTCATACCTGTGGATTTATATTCCTTGTTGTTGCACTGCCGTAATCACATAATACAAATTCTCCTCTGCCACTAAGCAGTATGTTTTCAACCTTGAAGTTAGAAATATAGAACTTAGAATAGAAGAACATTCCAAGTATACAGTCATGTGATGGATATTAATTTTACCGAATCTTTACATGAGCAAGAGATTTATCCTGATTATTTGCATACAACTTTATACTCTTGAAATACTATTTCATCTTGAAGTTTTTACCAAAATATGCTTGTTGGAATTTGATTAGAAATGTCAAATAGTTGCTTCTGGCCTTGATGGGTTTTCGCATGCAGCCTTCAGTTTTAAATCCCCTTGTCAAATTCATTAATAATTCATAACTAAGGTAAACACGATGAAAAATCATTGCCGTGAAATCATTGCCTTGAAATCATTGCAGCTTTAAATGAGCAAGAGATTTGTCGTGATTTGCATACGTCAACCTTTTTTTGATTTTCGCTTGGGCATGCACCTCACAGTTTTAAATGCCCATAAATGTCTCCTGTTAATATTCATATATTACATAATAACTTTATATTTGATATTTGTTTACCTTGAGATCCCTGTGTATTACAGGAGGTTTAGCTTGATGAAGCTGTGCTACAGCTTCACAGGTATCAGAAAAGATCTTTAACACTAGCGATTCATTGAAGCCATCATTGATACGTTCATTCATTAGCTGAACAACATGACCATCTAAAACATACAGGATGTCTTTAATACATGTGTATATTATTATCCATAATTGAGGAAAACTGTTTCAAGTTTCAAGAGTACCTTCACAATAAGCACTTGAAAATAAACGTCTGCTTGTTTTTTAAATAAAAGACTATCGCATTAAGGTTACTGTGGCCCTTCGCGGCGTCCGTTCGTTAAAAAATCATTGGCGCGTTGGATCTCGCGCTTTTATAAAGTATTATATGTCATATGAAAGCTGAATTATCAGAGAATATGTCTATGTAATTTTTATGACAATAGTTCTTATTCATAACGCGTTTCAATGCTCTGAACTAAACAAGGGTACCCCTGTTTGCAAGAGTTCAGTGTCAACACGTTTGGCTGTATAGTCGAAAGTACTGTACAATATAAGTCAACACATACCTATCTGTCAAATCGTGTGAGCGATTTTTAATATTTTACTTAGTTTAGAAATAAATCACAGTTGAATCGAAGAATGCAATTTTTTTGGCGTAATTTGATATAAACCTTAATAAAACAAAAACCAAGACGTAATTTGAGAAACGCTCACACGATTTTCCTATTCATGAGTTTCATGTGCTTCTGGAAAATTTTCATAACATTTTACCGTAATCGCGAGGAACTGGACTCTTCTAAACTTCGCTACCCCGAGAAAAACACTAAACGAGATATCAAGCAATGAAGTTGTGTAAACATAGAATCATCATCTTTCATCGCGGTCAAGAAGGTCAACCAACTGGCCAATTAGAAACGCGGCTCACCTGGTGTGCCTGGAAATGTTCTTTATTTCGCGGCATATATGATTTCGCGGGAAGCTTAGAATAGTTAGATGTTAGAAAATATGCCCCCAAAAAAGAAAGTTAAAAAACCTAATGAACCTGAGAGAGAAAGCACAATAAAATACAAAGGAACAAGCCGACAACACAAGCATCGGACTCGAAATGCTCAACGGGAGCCGTCACACAATCTAGGGATTACAACACCTCAGCAGTATTATTCATTTTTCGATAAAATGCCTTATCCCTAAATATCTCGCGAACGAAACAACTTTTTGAAAATATTTTTTTGGAATTAGAATGATTCCCTTTCATGTAAAGCAATCTGTTAATAAAAAAAATAAAATCGTCAAAATTGATGCCGCGAAGGGCCACAGTAACCTTAAAACATCTCCAATTCTAGTTAAAATTAGGTTTTATTACTGCACCTTTGCAATATTCCATCAAAATCAACACTTCAAAAATCTCTTCCTTGATTTGATTAATAGAGAAATCCAGAAATGAAATAGTGTTTTTGTGACCACTGACAAGTTTCTGTGGAAAAAACAAAATGGAATAAGAATGGAATAATTCTACCCACACTGTATAAATGATTATAAAATTTTTGATACATGTATATAACACGCGTTCTGATTGGCTGACAACCGTGTTTATAGCAGAGGACAGAGATATGGCTTACTGGCAAAATTTGTTTTTCTCAAAAAACTTTTTGAAAAATGCAGAAAAATTTTATAAAAGAATTATAAAACAGCCACTTGTGTCTCTGTTCTCTGATAAAAACATGGTGCGAATTGAAAAGCACACACGAGAAGCAAGTGTTCCTAAGCTTGCTTCTCTCATGTTTTTCAACTCCCACCATGTTTATATCAGAAGACAGAGACACACATGCTGTTTTATATTTCTTGAATAAAACCCAAATCCATCCCTCGTCTAAACTCAATACACTTGTGCTAACACAATTTATAAACTAAGGCAGAT